AGATTGCACCACTGCACTCTAGTCTGGATGTCACAGCGAGACTCTGTCCAAAAAAAAAAAGAAAAAAATTCTGATGCCTTTCTGTAGTCAATGAAATGGACCTGAAAGAAAGAGCCATAGTGAATTTTAAAAATGTACCCAAACTTTGAAAAAATGTTGCTGTTTTTCAAAAAATAAGTTAGTTGAGATGTTTCTTCATTATAGGAGGCAGAATGTTCTTCTCTTTTAAATTTCAGTTTTTGTTTTAGATACAGGGGGTACACGTGCAGGTTTGTTACATAGGTATATTGTGGGATGCTAAGGTTTGGGATATGAATGATCTTATCACCTAGGTAGTGAGCATAGTACCCAATAGTTTTTCAACCCTTGCCCCAACTCTCCCCACTCCTCCAGTAGTCCCCAGGGCTTGTTGTTGCTATCTTTATGTCCATGAGTCCCCAATGTTTAGTTTCCACTTATAAGTGAGAACATGTGGTATTTGGTTTTCTGTTCCTGTGTTAATTCACTTAGGACAATGGCCTCCAGATGCATCTATGTTGCTACAAGGGACATGATTTTTTTTTTTTTTTTTTATGGCTGTGATAAAATACTTTTGAACAGATTGTCAAAGGTACTGTATATATGTTTATTACTTTGAAAAAGCATTCATTGTATTTTATTTTATGGTGAAAACAGAAAATAAAAGAATTTAATCGACAGGGTATTTGCGTGTGTGTGTGTGTGTGTGCACATTTGTGTGTGTGTCTAGGTCTAGCTGTATCACTTCAAATACACACTCACAGATGCAGTTTTATCTTTAATTCAGACAGGGGCTGGAACCAATCTCAGTTTCATATATGCCAGAACATGACTGATACACGGAGATTGCTATCGTTAGGTGAATAATTCCAGAAAACTCTGGCTGATATCTTTGTAGCTCACCTCCAACATCCCTCTCCCTTTCCCTGGGCCCCTTGTCTGAGACTTTCAAAGCTGTGATCTGGGTTCTGGTCATCAGGAGGCATCACAGCTATCTCCATTTTTTTTTTTTAAATGAGGACATTTTGCAAAGAGTGACAAACTATGATGCCAGTTCTGTTTGAAAAATATATGTGTATTAAAGCTGGTCCATTGGCTGTGGACTCCAAATCTACATGGCATTCACTGATTTATCTCTTCCCTCCTCAGTATACGTTGTCCCGTGCACACTACAGAGAGGTCCCTCACAGAGAGTGGGGCATTTAGCCTCCATTGCCCCTGTGTAGGCTTCCCAGACCTCCTCCCATTCCCTTTCAGTCCTCCCTTCTCTAGGATCCTATGGACACAGTTGCCCAGACCCTGCTCCTGTGACCTCTATCCTCTCTGTCACCTTTCTTCAGCCCTGTAAGTGCTACTTGGTGTTTCATGCCCTGGAGCATATGTTTTTATAGTCTTGTTTTACATCTATCTTTTTTTTCTTTCTAACATGGGAAGTGGATTTGGGTCTGCTCAGAGGCATGATGTTGAACAGCTTTTATTAGATTATGAAACATCCAAGAATGTAGAGAACATTCTGTCTCTAAAACTTTGAACTCAAGGCATATCAGAGAGAGATTTGCTTTCTTTATATGGATGTCTGTGTTCTCATTAGTAGAAACAGTGAAAAATGACTTTTCACAATGCCTTCTTAGCCCAGAGGCTCGGCCAGCCCCCACGTCTGCGTCTCAGCATTTAAAGGGCCATTGAAGTCCCACTTCATGCCACATACTCTCAACAGGTTTTCTCATTTGCTCCTTGGGACAGCTCTGTAAGGATGATACAGTCAGTTCTATCTCACAGATAATCAAGCTCAGGCTTTCACAGCCTAAGTCACCTTCCCAGGTAAGTGGCAGGATTGGAATGAGGTTTCATCCCTCACCCTCCCTAAACGACCCCAAGCACCCCCTTTTAGAAGATGGGCTTCCAGGGCTTGAGAAATTGTCAGATTCCACTCCCCTGCTATTGTGGCCCCACGGGTCCCCCACTCCACAACCCCTCTGGGTGATGAGGAAGACAGAGGTGGTGAAATCCTGCACTTTATGCCAAGAGACTGGGTATAGGACCGCATGAGTTGGCTGATCCCTTAAGTGGTGAGTGGGCTCAGGCAGACGCTTAGGTGTTGGCCTTGCGACGGGTGAGCTGAAGAGAAGGAAAGTAACCTGCACTGAGCTACTTTAAGCAAATACACTCTATATTTCATCTCCTTTATCCTAACGGCTGTTCAAGGTACCAATGATTATGATCATTATTCCAATCAGGGTGCTGTCTTTAAGGGAGTTTATATAAATCAGGGAGACAACTTTATTATCTCCTTATTGTCAGCTAACTCTGGAATTAATCTAAAGGCTTTTTTTTTTCTCTATTTGCCCTGAAGCCCACAGAGAAATAGAAATGTTTTTCTTATCCTTTATTCACATGTTTGTTCTGTATTGATGAGTATTTAGAATGTTTCTCATTTTTTCCTTTTTAAAAAGATTTCAGCAATGCTATTTCAAATAACCACTTACCTGGCTATTTTGGACATGTGAACATTTTTTCCTCCATTACATGTGTAAACATCTATCCCTTGGGGCTTGATTTCAATAATTTAAACTTCCTTGTGTCTGAGCATTCTCATTTCTTTAACCATCTTTGTACCTGTTGTTACAATATTTAAATGTATTTATAACTGATAAGTGTGTTTCCATTTCCTTGATGTATTTGGTCCCTCATCCCGCCCCCATACCCAGACACACACAGAACCACTTTTCACCTTTTCGTTTTTCAAATTTTTAAAAAATTCTTTTTCGCTTTTTTTTCTACATTTAAATTTTGTCAGATGATAGGTGATAAAAGGATATTTAGATGGTTTCATTTGCATTCCTTAATGTATTAGTGAGCTAGAATGCTTTTTCTTGTGATTACTGGCCATTTGCGTTTCTTCACCTGTAAACCATTTACATATTTTGTCAGTTTTGCTGTTTTGTTATAGGAGCTGTACATGTGTTAAACCTAAAACCCTTCACTGATGGATGCATGCGTTATTTCAACACATCTTTGTTGGGTGAATATTATTTATGAGACACTCTAGCAAAATCTATGTCCTAGATGTCTCTTCTGAGATCTTGGCTCTTATATTTATGGGAGATGTCCACCTGCAGCAAGAAAAGTATTAGTGCCCATGCAAACATGCGTGGCTTGTCAAGGATCACATGCACAGGCAGTTCACACTTACTCCTAAACCCTGCATGGCCACAGAGTAAAAAGGATGTGTGGTGCATTATATGAGGAGAGCCCCGGCTCAGGATTGTGATTTCTGTGATCTCTATAATAATGGCAATATTTTTTAAAATTACATAACATTTCTGAGTTTGCCTTTTCTGATTTGTAAAATGGAAACAATCATAGCTAACAAAGACAGCTGTTCTGAAAGCAAAAGAACAAAATATTTTTAAGTGTCATACACAGCGTAGGGTACATACGGTACTCAACACATCTTAGTCCCTTTCCTATCCCATACCCGTCCTTCCTTTAAAGGAGATTCCTTTGACATAATCCAAAAGGCATGGTTCCATAATGATCATATGAAAATTTTAAGGGAAATGTATAGGTTTCCATGATTAATTAACTGCTGTGTCACTACTCTGTGCTGGGTAAGGAAAAGGAAAACAATCACTGAACCAGTTTCCTGGGTTTGTAAAAGAAATCCATCAAAGCCACCACCTCATTTCGCTTTATTTCATAGACTTCCCCCATCTCATTTTTTATGTTCTATGTTAATTTCTCAAGAAAAACAGGCCCGGCATTACCTCTGCACACAACCCTGTGGGTCTGGCCCAGGCGCGGGGCGGGGCCAGCACGATGAGCGCCCCAGGCAGCCCCGACCAGGCCTACGACTTCCTGCTCAAGTTCCTGCTGGTGGGCGACAGCGACGTGGGCAAGAGTGAGATCCTGGAGAGCCTGCAGGATGGCGCGGCCGAGTCCCCATACAGTCACCTGAGGGGGATCGACTACAAGACGACCACCATCCTGCTGGACGGCCAGCGGGTGAAGCTGAAGCTCTGGGATACGTCGGGGCAGGGAAGATTTTGTACCATATTCCGCTCCTACTCTCGTGGTGCACAAGGAGTGATCCTGGTCTACGACATTGCAAACCGCTGGTCTTTCGAGGGTATGGATCGATGGATTAAGAAGATCGATGAGCATGCCCCTGGTGTCCCTAAAATCCTGGTGGGGAATCGCCTACATCTGGCATTCAAGAGGCAGGTGCCCAGGGAGCAGGCCCAGGCCTATGCTGAGCGCCTGGGCATAACCTTCTTTGAGGTCAGCCCTCTGTGCAATTTCAACATCATAGAGTCTTTCACGGAGCTGGCCAGGATCGTGCTGCTGCGGCACAGGTTGAACTGGCTCGGGAGGCCGAGCAAGGTACTGAGCTTGCAAGACCTCTGCTGCCGCACCATCGTGTCCTGCACACCCGTATACCTGGTGGACAAGCTCCCGCTCCCCAGTGCCTTAAGAAGCCACCTCAAGTCCTTCTCCATGGCTAAGGGCCTGAATGCCAGGATGATGCGAGGCCTCTCCTACTCCCTCACCACCAGCTCCACCCACAAAAGGAGCAGCCTCTGCAAAGTGGAGATCGTCTGCCCACCCCAGAGCCCACCCAAAAACTGTACCAGAAACAGCTGCAAAATTTCTTAAGGAAGGCACCAAAAGGAAACAAGCTGGAATCGCTCCAGGAAGAACTCTGGTTACACCTGGAAGACGGAAGTCGGAAGTCGCATTCTAGATTCAAGAAATTAGTTTTCAGTTTCTCAAGGGAATCATGCTGCTTGGGAAGGGTATGATGCCTTCTGTCAATAAAAACACATTACGCAGTTTGACTTTGAATTTCTATATGGATGTGCATGAAGCTCTCATTTTAGACGTGTTTATAAACGGGAAATTAGTACTCTGCTCAACTCTTGGTAACATGAAATTTTGAATGTTACTTATATCATAATCACACTGCAACTTTTTCCTTAAAATTACTGCCTTTGTAAGAATGGTGATATGGCAGTGATGAGTATAAATTCAAGGGAATTTGAGATGCAATGATAGTGAGATAATTTAGTCATTGATACTACAAGACGGGCCTTTTTGTAAACCTCCTTTTAAAGTCAAAGCACCAATTTATAAAACACTGCAGATGCATATAGAGATTATATGTAACAGATCTGTCCAGTTTGTGCATGAAATGGATTTGATAGTTTTTGCTATGTTATTTTACTACATTTGAGGATTCATTCGTGATTTATATGTATGTTTTTCTATAAATCTACTTTTTTTGTACAAGATGTTCTACAAGATATGAAGCTAAGGGAGGAAAACGCCAAAGATATCTCTAGTTATGTTGAACATAGCCAACATGGTTTCAATGGATCAGTAAGAAAAAACCATTTCAGTAAGGAATGAAATAAGTACTTATTTGAGAAAACATTTCTTAACAATAAAAAGGTATATATTTTTCTCTTTTGGTAAAATGAAAAGAAAAAGAAAAATATACATAATGTAACCTCGCAAGATGAGGGTTTGCAGAAAAACATTGCAATAGAACATGGCGGGGCCAGGCCCATTATAAGACTTTAGGTGAGTCATTTCCCCTGTACTGGCCAGTTTTGGTTAACAAATCTCAGATCAATATAGAGGTTAATGAGATGACATCTGGGAAAGCACTTCTGAGACCTTAGATGGGAAGGAAGAAGAACTGATTTCCATGTAGTTACTTTCCAATTTACATTGTGAATATTATAATAATCTATATTGGATGAACTGAGTAAATATAAGTCCTTGCACTCTTGTAACTGAATGACCATTTATTTGTGCATTGTCATAGGGTGATTATAAATAAAGTACCGCAGAAGAGCAGTATCTCTGGCCTCAGGAAGCCTTGGGGACTCACCCTTCCTGAACGCTGGTACTTTTCTATCTCATGAATTTCTCACAACATTCCTGGGAGGTAGAGGATATAATCTCTACACCATCCTGTAGCTGAAGAAACAGTGATGTTTGCAGGTTAAGCAGCCTGGCTGGGAAGCATCCTGCCACTAAGTGGAAAAGCAGAGACCTGCACCCTATATGCCCCCAGGCAGACTGATGCTGAGCTGCACATCACACCATAACCAAGTAAATCTTGCTTTCCTGCTGACCCAGGTCACTACTGAAATCTGTATCTTCAGCTCTGAAGCCAGTCTGCCAGTTCTGTCTCTCTTCTGAAAGACAGAGAGCCTTGTCAGACCTAAGTTTCCTACTCTGTAGACAAGGGAGTGTGTCTGGGCCATTGCTTTAGAAACTGGAGTCTGCAGACAGTTCCTGTGTCAGGAAGAATATGCACTCTCAGAGGGGCAGGGGTCATGCTGAGGATGAATACTTGAAGGAGCAGTCCCCAAACACATGCAGATGGGGGATACATAGAGTCTTTAATAGAAATTACCAAATCAACCTGGAAAGAGGTTGTACTAAATGACATCCCCACCACCAATATGAAACAGGGTAGACTTCCCCGCATGCCCACCTTACTGGAATCCTGAATGGTTTCTTTTTATACTTTGATGATATGACAGGTGGAAATTCTTTCATTGTCATTATATTTAATTTGGTGTTCAGATAACTTAAAAAATTCCCTAGTACACAAAATGCTCTGATAATCATCATTGCATTATATTTTTATTGCAAACTGGTCCATTTTCATATGTAGCCTAAAAACAATGAGCAACAGGCACATTAGCCTGCAAGTTCTCCTAGAGCTACTGGTGGCATTATGGTTCCAGGGTGTGTTTGTGGCCTCTGGGGGATACTGATGGCAGCGTGTTTGTCTAGAAGATTAAGAACATCTCTCTGTGATATTAGTTGAATTCAGTATTAGAGAAGAGCTGGAGTCTTTTTAAATGACACAAGAGCTGGACCACAACATGCTTCTGAGCAGGCTGTAATACTGTCCCTGTGATGGAAAGCAAGCCTTTCTGTAATCTCACCTGCTCAAGTCGGGGTGGATCCCTCCAGGATGTAAGGTATGGCAGTCAGCCTAAATCTGCTTCTGAACACTGAAGCTGAGTGCTCCCATCTTCCTGACATCAGTTACAGAGACTGGAGAAGCTGCATCTTCTCAGACACCAAAACCATGGGTTCAGTCACCTGTGTGAGGAGCTCGGTGCTAGAAGATAAAATACCAGTACCTGTTTGACACATCGTGCATCTATCCATTCATCTGTCCATCCATTCATCCATCTGTCCATCCATCCATCCATCCATCCCCATAGTTAACAGGCATTAAGGTCAAATGACACCATCCTTCTGGTTAAGCTTTAGACTTCCCCGGAATAGAAACAAGGAAGTAAGGGGGTTGTGGTGAACTCAGTTTCTAGACCTAAGAAGAGATGGCTCCTTCTCATTAATATTTCCATCCTGAGAGAGCCTCTTATCATTGATCATTTCAAAACATAATTTAAAAACCCTGGACCCCTCTCTACAATCCTAGTTACTGTTCTCTTTACATATACTCTCCCATTGCAACCAAAGTTCTATGAAGAATTCTCAATACTCAACTCATCCCTTTATACCTCCCTCCACCTCAGTCCTCATTCCTCATCTAATGGTGCTTTGTTACCGTACCCCTCCACTGAAATGAACCCCATCAAAACCAACAGCCACGCCTTTGTCCCATTTATAGATCAAGACTATTGAAATGAACATCTATCTGGAGACAAAGCTTCACCTGCAATGACAAAATTCAGTTGCTTTTGTATAGACAAAGATTTTATGGCAATGCTATATTTACCTAAAAGCTAGCATTGTAAAATAGCTTCCATAGAGTCAGTCAGATAATGTGAAGGCTGTGCTACAGGAACTGTGCTATCAATTGAAGTACAGCATTTCCCCAACATATCCCATAATATTGCTTCAATAAAAGGAATGTTGCAAATAGATTTACTGCATGTTAGCAATATTTTTATGATCACTTAAATAAATTCTGTTTATTGTTTTATTTCTTTCTGAAGGAATTACTAAGTATACAATGTAATCACCTGAAATTAAAATGTTTCAAAATTTGTCATGGTTAAATATATTGCCTAAAAGCATTGTCTGATTGTTTAATATGCCATAATTAGGTAATATAATGGTGGTGAAATATAATAGTAGAGAGAGGGAACTCCTGCAATCTCCTGATTAGGTCAGAATTCTACTGCACCACACAAATCATAATGCTGGAATTCCTTTTGGAATGTTTCCATTTGGTAAACTATCCCAACTATATGATAAGTGTACATGATTCCATACTGATATAAATAAGTGTTTCAATTGAAAAAGAAATGGATCAGAGAAGACAAATTATCTCAATCAAATAATTCTAAATAATATATATATGGCTACCCCACAGTTCATGAGGAGAAGTTTAATTCTGTCCTCTACCTCCTAAGAACAGGGCTGACTTAGTGACTTACTTCTACAGAAAAGAGTATAGGAATGTGAAATAGTTACCACACACTGGAAAAATTTGGCAAACAGTACCTTAACCAAGTGATGAAGGTTAACATCACTGATATCATATGGGTAGCATGTAAACCCATATATGGTGTGATAAAAAGGGCAATTCATCTCTGTGGTATTCCTTCTGAAAACCCACAACCTCAGTTGTGGGAGAAAATATTTGCAGACTACCCATTTGACAAGGGATTAATAACCAGAGAAATAAAATGTCCCCTGTGTGTTTTCTTGCATGCATGACTTCACTTAGGGAGTCTAAATAGCACTACCTTTATGGGTGTCAGTGTGGCAATATTTATCCAAAACCTACATATGTACACAGTTTGCACCAACAATTAACCATGTACAAGTTTATCTTCAGAATGTAGGGAAGGATGTGGATAAGGATATGGTAAAAATAACTGCCATTCTGACAGTTCCCTTCCTTTACTTCTGGGCCTTGTGAAGCCTGAAAGAACCAGTCCTTCAAGATGAATCCTGGGTGTTTAACCGGGCCTAATTCAAATTAGAGCCAAGTGGCCATTTGCTGACTAAAGGTCACACATTACTTCGAGTTTCCAGAAAACCTGCAAGTCTGCTTAACTTTGGGACTTTCATAGCTGCCTGTTCCTTTTTATGGTGCTTAAACCAACCAATAAGCTTTCACCTATGTCAACCAATCGGAACTAAGCAAGTTGGAATCCTTCATTTGCATAAGTTGATCTGAGTGGGACCCTGGGTGGGAATTTTCTTCATAAAAGACAAACCTGGCCGGGCACGGTGGCTCACGCCTGTAATCCCAGCACTTTGGGAGGCCAAGGCAGGCGGATCACGAGGTCAGGAGCTCGAGACCATCCTGGCTAACATGGTGAAACCCCGTCTCTACTAAAAATACAAAAAAAATTAGCCAGGCGTGGTGGAGGGCGCCTGTAGTCCCAGCTACTTGGGAGGTTGAGGCAGGAGAATGGCGTGAACCCGGGAGGCGGAGCTTGCAGTGAGCGGAGATCATGCCACTGCACTTCAGCCTGGGTGACAGAGTGAGACTCCGTCTCAAAAAAAAAAAAAAAAAAAAAAAACCACAAACCTTCCCTTTGTTCTCTGGAACACACCTTCATTTTATACTGAAGGCTACATCTCCCCGATTTGCAAACTATTCACTGGAATAAAGTCTCTTTCCTCTAAATTCCTTTTCAGAGAACTTTTGTTCTCAACCTGAATTTAGGAAGGGAGACCAAATGAGATGCAAAGCCATGAAGGAAAAGAAGGAAGCAGAGGCAAATGTGGTTGTCAGCACACACACAATCACGCCAGCACATACACAATCGCGCGCACACACATTTATACATGGACCAGGTTCTTTTTATCATAATACTAGTATTCTTCTATGACAGTTTGGTGGGTTCCAAGAGGACACATTTGGCTCACCAGTCCAAACAGCCACCGGAACTGTGCCTGGAACTGTGCCCTTCAGCGGAGCACAGACTTTGAAAAGATGCCATCGACACAGTGTTGACAATAGGGAGTATCAGAACACTGAATAACATGGAGTTCTGAAAATTATGTTACATCCACAGGATGAAATTCTAGGTGGCAATAAAATGAGTTATAATGAAGACAATGATGAGAGATAATTTTCTGCCTATCAGATTAGCTACCATGCCCACTATTTCAATGTGTGTAGAAACAGGCACTTTCATACTGTGATGTTAGTGTTACTGAGCAATGGGCTTGCTCACCAATGCACACAGAAGCCAATACTATGGCACTAGCACTTGAGGAAAGAAAAAGCTTTATTGCAACACTCAAATCTGTTTCCTCGAGCTGGGGTCTGGAGGCAGAAAGTAACTATGAGGGACATAGGGAAATGCAACGACACATGATCTGATTGGATCATGCAAAGAAGTGGTGCCGAGTCCTTGGCTTTTAAGTTTATACTGGGAAAAAACCAGGGAACCTCTCACTTCTCATTTTGGTCCTCATTTCTCAATCTGAATACTTAGGTTCCACATGTGGTTGACATTTTCTGTTCTGGCCAGCTCCAGGTTCACCAATCAGGCATACGTGGTTCATTTGGGCATGCTCAGGTTATATGACTTGCAACCTGGGTATCCACTGCATCTAAAAAGCAACTCATCACTTTGTTGCAAAGTCAAAGCATATTGAACGGTTCTGTGGTTACATTAGGAATGTAAATTAGTAGTAGTATTTTGAACCATTATGTTAAAATAAAATGTTCTAATTTCCAGGGTTTTGAAAGGACTCTTCAGGAGCTTATAAAGAAATGCTTTAAAAGATATTTGCATATATAAAAGCTGATGTTAAGTATACTATTGTCTGTAATAGAAACTATATTAAAAGGAATTAAATTTTCACCACTAGAGTACTGGGAAGATAAAGTTTAGGGCATCATATGATGAAACACCAACTCCATACAAAAAATTGAAATTGAATTTGAAAGATGGTTATAATAAGGGCAAACACAGGTTACAAAAGTCCTAAGTAGTACGGCCAAGTGCAGTGGCTTACGTCTGTACTCCCCGCACTTTGGAAGACAGAGGTGGGCGGTTCCCTTGAGCTCAGGAGTTCAAGACCAGCTTGGGTAACATGGTGAAATACCATCTCTACAAAAAATACAAAAATTAGTCAGGGGTGGTGGCTCACACCTATAGTCCCAGCTACTTGGGAGGCTGTGGCTGGAGGATTGCTTGAGCCTGGGAGGCAGAGGTTGCAGTGAGCTGCGATTGCACCACTGCACTCCAGCCTGGGTGACAAGAGAAAAACCCCACAAAAGTCATAAGTAGTTCTGTATCTATTTTTGCTTGTATTGCTATATATCTATAGGTCTGAAAGCATAAAAATGAAAATGATTTTTAAAATTCCTCTCAAATATAGCTTTCTCTTTAGCATAGTAAGAGGCTGGGCTTTCTGTTTGGCCATCAGTATCCCTGAACACTGGATATACCTCCTTTTCCACCCAGACTTACGGAAAGCTCTGTGGGGTGGGCTTGGGCCACAGCCCCTTCCTCCCCTTTTCCTGCTCCCGGATGTTCAAGCTGCAGTTTAGGCTTCTGTCACGAGGGGGCACTAACGTAGCACCATTATCAGACTGCAAAGCAATATATACAATGAGCAAAAATCAATACGATACCTCCCTTAAAACACAGCTTGTGAAACTATGTTCAGAATTATTCTGTCTGAAAAAACTGACAGATGCAAAACAAGACTAAATAAATATACTCTGGGGCATCCATACGATGAAACACCAGGTAGCTCTAGCACACACCGGAGCCACCGGCCGGCATAGGACAGCACAGGGGCAGGCAGCACAGGGGCAGGCGTAAGGTGACTGAGAAATGATGAGGGAGGTGGAACTGAGTCTGGGTGGCTGTGTCCACAGTGTCCCAGAGAGGTTATGACTAAGAGTGGGTGGGAGAGGGTCTGGGAAGCCTGTACAGGAGTCGGGTAATGGAGGGCGAACTGCCTGCTCTCTGGGAGGGAGGGACCCCTCTATAGTGTGGAAACCTCAACCTACCCTGAGGAAGGAAAAGATAAATCAGTGAATGCGATATAGATTCTTGGGTCACCATAATGCAACTGCTTTAAAATATATATTATATATACACAATATATAATATATATAATATAAATAAAATAAAATTTCATAAATATATTTTGTATAAATCCATAAATATATTTTATATAAATAAATTAAATAAATAAAAATATATGAATTTTTGCACACAGAATTATGATCATGGTAAACAAACCATTTTAAGTCCTTCGTTACTCTTTACAAAATGCACTCCTTTTTATTAAAAAAAAGATGGATGCCATCTGGTGGCCAGAAATAGGATTGCATCTCTGTCAGACAAGGGCCTCGGTAAGAGGGAAAGAGGGATGATGGAGTTTGGGAACTTGGCTCCAAGAAGCTGGAGTTTTCCGGAATTATTCAGCTCATGGTAGCTGTCTCTCTGTATCCACTATTTTCTGGGATATCTAAAACTGATACTGGTTCCATCCCCTGTCTAAATTGAAGGTAAATCTGCACCTATGTTTATTTGGGTGATAGAGCAAAAGATACACACACACACACACACACATACACACACATACACACACAGACATTATCAATTCCATTTTTATCTACTTTGTCTCAATATAAAATTGAATACAACGAATGTACTTTCAAATTAATGAAATACATTACAATTACTTTTGCCAATCTATTCAAAAGTATTTATTGAAATGCTTTTTTCCCTAAATACAAAATTTCAAACAATATATAAAAGTATATTTATAAATTGAAATGAATCTGCATCTACCCTCTGACCCAAAGGGTCTGTTGTCAACAGAATGGTGCATACTCTCCAGATGTGTCCCTGTAGGTGAGGTACACACAAACATGTTCACTCACACACAATCTGTTCCAAAAGTGAATCACAGTACTAATTTTTTTTGCAACTTGTTTCTTCCACATAATATTCTTTTGAAGATTTATATTTGCATCCTATTAGTACTTTCAGTTTTGACAAATTTTAACATGTTTATTGTTCATGTATATTTTAATGAGAATGTTCTGTTGAAAATAGTTGCCAGTCATTTTGTTACAGAATGTGGTTCACAAATCAGATACTAACCCAGTATCTGAGGTGTAGTTTGCAAATGTTTTCTCCCTTATGTTAAAAAATGCTTAGCCTTATTTTTATTGAGAAAGTGTTTTAAATGTCAATAATGTGACAAAAAATATACAGGTCATAATTTAAAAAGAAAAAATGTTGAACAACACCATGAGGAGAAGATGCTATCAGCCTGCAGGGAGATTACAATATTCAGAGCCCTGGAGATATCAAGAGAAAATGATACAACTTTGGAGTATTCCAGAGTTAGCTAATGATCACAGGACAACTAGGTTGTTTCCCTGACTTACATAAACTCCCCTAAAGACAGCACACTGATCTGAATAATGGTCAGAATGATGAGTATTTTAAATGGTTGTTAGGATTAATGGAGATGAGCTGTAAATTGCATTTGCTTACAGTAGTTCAGTGCATGTTACTTTCCTTCTCTCCAGCTTACCTGTCCGAAGGCCAATAGCTGAGCTTCTGCCTGAGCCCACTCACCACTTCAAGGATTAGCCAACTCATGTGGCCCTACACACAGATCTCATGGCACAAAGTGCAGGATTTCACCTCTTCTGTCTTCCTTATCACCCAGAGGAGTTGTGGAGTGAGGACCTGTGGGGCCACAATATCAGGGGGGAATCTGACCATTTCTCAAGCCCTGGAAGTCCATCTTCTAAAATGGAAGTTGCTCAGGGTTCTCTAGGAAGGGTGAGGGATGGAATCTCATTCCAACCTTGCCACTTACCTGGAGAGGTGACTTAGACTCTGTGAGCCTGAGCTTAGTCATCTGTGAAATGGGACTGACCATACCATCTTTACAGAGTTGTTCTGAGGGGTAAATGAGAAAACCTCTTGAGAATACATAGCATGGCGTGGGACTTCAATGGCCCTTTAAATGCTGAGACATAGAAGTGGGGGCTGGCTGAGCCTCAGGGCTAAGGCAGGCATTGTGAAAAGTCTTTTTCATTGTTTCTCTCCTAATGAGAACACAGACATCCATATAAGGAAAGCAAATCTCTCTGATATGATTTGAATTCAAAGTTTTAGAAACAGAATGTTCTCTACATTCTTGGGTGTTTCATAAAATCTGGTCAACATCATGCCTCTGAGCAGACCCAATCCAGTTCCCAATGCTGGGAAGACAAGTGTGTCTTTGAACTTACCTGATGAGCTCTGTGATAGGTCTGGCCAGGAATGCAAGGTTTGGTGTTTGCCTAGTGGCTGCTCCTGGCTTACTTGGTATTTTAGTATATTTATAGAAAAATTCTGTACTCATCCTACAGTCAGCTGTGCAGGAGTCCTCAGATCATGCGTGATCCAGCCACATCACACTAGGATTTCAGCCACCTGCTGCCTCCCTTGAAGGACAAAAACCCAAGAGTTACTAGCATTTCTTTCATACAATGTCCATTCTTTCATTCACTAACAAGTAAATATATATTGAGCTCAAAACCCCTATTAGTTCATTGGAAGGGTCTCATGTTCTCCAAAGTGGAAATAAGAATGTAAGAAGGGAAATAAATATATGGACAACTTCGAGGGATAAACCTGAGAATAAGACAGCTTCTTCACATTAATTTGAAAACTTGCTGAAGTTTCATGGAATTGAAGATTTTTTAAAGTCTCTCATTAAACCCTTCATTCCTATCCAGACACAGAATCTTTCTCTCTATAAATGTATCTGTCTGTATCTCTAGGTCTCTGTCTTCCCTTTCAAATTCAAAGTACTGAAAGAATTTTCTGCATTCTCTGTTAACATTCTTCACTTCCCATGGTCCTTATCCCATCGCACTGTGACGTCTGTTTCCAGGATTGCAACAAACATGATCTCACCGAGGTTAAAATTCACCTTTTGGTCACTAGGTTCAGTTTTGTGTGTGTGTGTGTGTGTGTGTGTGTGTGTGTAAATATATTATCATAATTAGTATTCCTTTTTAAAAGTAATCTCCTAAAACATGCATGCTTGTGCAGACTACTTCTTCCACCTATCAACAGAGCTTTCACAGTTTCCCAGGCTCTGGAGCATGATGTACTGGACACAAATATAAGCTGTCTCACTCCCTAACTGTACAGTCTCAGACAGAGTCCATATTCTCTCTGTCATCAGTTTTTCATCTATAAAACAGAGATTAGCCACAGTTTCTACCATGTAAGGGTGCTGTGAAAATTTGATGACTCAATACATAAATGCATATGGTATATAAGAAATGTAGTCATTTCTCTTTATATATTTTATTGGCATTAGTATCACTGTAGTCATAAAAATAGGATATAAAGTTTATTCACAAGGAATGCCGTTTGTGGTTTGTTAGAGAGTGTATACATTTTCTAGGACTGCCATATCAAATTACATAAATTTATTATTTCAGAGTTCAAAAGTACAAAACCAAGGTCTAGACAGGGTCAAGTCTTTCTGAAGACTCAGGGGAGAATCCTTCCTTTCCTCTTCCATCTTTTGGTGGTTCCTGCTTTATAGTTCCAATCTCTTCCTCCATCTTTACATGGCCTTTCTCCCTGTCTGTGTCAAATATGCCTCTCCTTTCTTTTATAATGATGCTGGCAATTGGATGATCATATCTTTAGGTCTTTAGCTTGATTAGATTTGCAAAGATTCTGTTTCCAAATAAGGTATAGTGGGTGTTAGAATTAGGACATATTTTTGAGGAGACACAATTCAACCCATTACAGTGAGGCAAGCAAGTTACAAAACTAAATGTAAGATGAAGCATCTTTTGTATGTAAATATGTAAATGCACCCATACTTACATATGTACATATATATTTACCTGCAAAAGAAAACTTCTGGAAGAATATAATGTAGGTGAAATCACTACAAGGGCTTATCTTGGGGTGGCAGGATTTGGGGTATTATTTTTTTTCTTTTTTTTTCTTTTTTGAGATGGAGTTTCGCTCTTGTCACCCAGGCTGAAGTGCAGTGGCGCGATCTTGGCTCCCTGCAACGTCACCCTCCCGGGTTCAGGCGATTCTCCTGCCTCAGCCTCCTCAGTAGCTGGGATTATAGGTGCCTGCCACCATACCCAGCTAATTTTTTTGTATTTTTAGTAGAGACGGGGTTTTACCATGTTGGTCAGGCTGGTCTCGAACTCCTGATCTTAGGTGATCTGCCGTCGTTGGCCTCCCAAAGTGCTGGGATTACAGGCGTGAGCCACCATGCCCAGCTATTTTTTCTTTTCTATATCTTCTGTTTTTACCTATAATAAGCACTATTCCTCTTGCAATTACACAAATATTAAAATGTCTGGAAAACATAACCATTCTGTGTTCCCAACCACAAGAAAACTATTTACTTCAGAACAGGAATATCCCTAAGGCAGGAAGGGAGACAAGGTATTTCCACAGTATTACTGAACATATTTTTTCCAAATTCAACACTACACAGAATACTATCAATATTTAATTGTCAGCTGGGCACGGTGGCTCACGCCTGTAATCCCAGCACTTTGGGAGGCAGAAGTGGGTGGATTACCTGAGGTCAGGAGTTCGAGACCAGCCTGACCAACATGGTGAAACCCCGTGTCCACTAAAAATACAAAATTAGCTGGGCGTGGTGGTGCATGCCCGTAATCCCAGCTACTTGGCAGGCTGAGGCAGGAGAATTGCTTGAATCTAGGAGGCGGAGGTTGCAGTGAGCCAAGATTGCGCCATTACACTCCAGCCTGGGCAATAAGAGTAAAACTTGGTCTATAAATTAATTAATTAATTAATTAATTAAAGGTCTGCCTACTTAACTGAGAAAAAACAGGAAACCTTAATTTGTTTAGTTGTGCTGCTATGCCCTGATCTTATTGGATGAAAGGCAGCTGCTCATACTGGTTAGATGTAGGGGCTTGAGAGCCACACAGCCAATGTTCAAATCTAAGTCTCGGCACTTGCTAGCCCTGCCTTCACTGTGCCTCAGTTCCCTTATGTTTAAAGGCAGGCCACAATAGCTCCTCCTTACAGATGATGCTGAGGATTAAATAACTATAGGTTTAGCTCTTACAACAGTGTCAGGAACTGAGGATGCCAATAATAAATATTAACCTTTTAAAAAAATCAGTGTTAACGTATTGCCATTTATATTATTATGTGAATTTTTATTGATTGGCATAGATTGCCATTCATATTACGATGTCTGTTAAAAAAAAAAAAGCCATTTGCACAGCTGTAAGTAGGATATCATCTCATGGCATTCCTAAATATGCATCGTTATATTTGCATAATAGAATTTATGAAAAAAATATATAGTCACGCACCACATAACATTTCAAATGATGAAGGACCACATATTCAACAGCAGTCCAAGATTACAATGGAGCTGAAAAATTCTTGTTGCATGTAAATTCTTGCTGTAACTGTCGTAGTTCAATGCATTCCTCACGTGTTTGTGGTGATGCCCATGTACACAAACCTACTGTGCTGCCAGTTCTATAAAAGTATAGCACATACAATTGTGTACAATACATAATACTTGATAATGATAATAAATGACTATGTTGCTGGTTTATGTGTTTATTATACTACACATTTTATCATTATGTTAGAGCATACTCTTCTACATATTAAAAAAGTTAACTGTAAAACAGCTAGGCAGGTCCTTCAGGAGGTATTCAAGAAGGAGGCATTGCTATCATAGGAGATGACAGCCCCATGCATGTTACTTTGCTCCCAAAGACCTTCTGGTGAGACAAGATGTGGAGGTGGAAGATAGTGATATTGATGATCCTGACCCTGTGTAGGCCTAGGTTCATGTGTGTGTTTGTGTCTTAGTTTCTAACAAAAAAAGTTTAAAAAAATTAATAGCAAAAAGCATATAGAATAAAGATATAAAGAAAGCAAATGGCCAGGCATGGTTGCTCATGCCTGTAATCCCAGAACAGGCCGAGGTGGGAGGATCCATTGAGCCCAGGAATTTGAGACCAGCTTGGGCAATATAATGAGCCCTGGTCTCTACATACATACATACATACATACATACATACTTAAGTACACAAACAAACAAACTAGCTGAGTGTGGTGGTACATGCCTGTATTTCCAGATACTCAGGAGGCTGAGGCAGGAGGATCGCTTGAGCCTGGGGGGTAGAGGCTGTTGTGAGCCAAGATCAGGCCACTGTACTCCAGTCTGGGCAACAGAGCAAGAAAGTGTCTCAACAAAAAAAAGGAGGCTGGGCGCCGTGGCTCAAGCCTGTAATCCCAGCACTTTGGGAGGCCGAGGCAGGCGGATCACGAAGTCAGGAGATCGAGACCATCCTGGCTAACACGGTGAAACCCCGTCTCTACTAAAAATACAAAAAAAAAAAAAAAAAAAAATTAGCCGGGCGTAGTGGCGGGCGCCTGTAGTCCCAGCTACTCGGGAGGCTGAGGCAGGAGAATTGCTTGAATCTGGGAGACGGAGGTTGCAGTGAGCCAAGATCACACCACCGCACTCCAGCCTGGGCAACAGAGCTGGACTCTGTCTCAAAAAAAAAAAAAAAAAAGGAAAGAAAAGAAAATATTTTTTATAGCTCTACAATGTGTTTGTGTTTTAAGCAAAGTGTTATTACCAAAGAGCAAAAAGTAAAAAAAAATTTAAAAATTATAAAGTAAAAAGGTTACTGTAAACGTAGTACTGAATTTATTATTAAATTTAGTGTAGCCTAAGTATATAGTGTTTATAGAGTCTATGGGAGTGTACAGTAACGTCCTAGACTTTCACTTTCATTCACTACTCACTCACCCAGAGCAACTTCCAGTCCTGCAAGCCCCATTCACGGTAAGTGCCCTATATAGGTGTGCCATTTTGTATCTTTTTTTTCTTTTCTATTTCTATTTATTTATTTTTTTTGGAGACAGGGTCTCACTGTGTCCCCCAGGCTGGAGTGTGGTGACATGATCTGGGCTTACTGCAACCTCCGCCTCCCAGGCTCAAATGACTCTCGTGCCTCAGCCTCCCAAATAGCCAGGATTACAGGCGGCTGCCACCATGCCCAGCTAGTTTTTGTACTTTTAGTGAAGACAGTGTTTCCCCGTGTTGGCCAGGCTGGTCTCGAACTCCTGGCCTCATGTGATCCGCCTGCCTCGGGCTCCCAAAGTGCTGGGACTACAGGTGTCAGCCACTGCACCTGGCCCCATTTTGTATATTTTATACCATAATTTTACTGTTCATTATTGCTTAGATATGTTTAGATACACAAATACTGACCATTCAGTACAGTAACATGCTGTACAGGTTTGTAGCCTAGGAGCAACAGGCTGTACCATCTAGCCTAAGTATGTAGAAGGCTAGGTTTGTGTAACTGCACTCTATGATATTAGCACATTGAAACCATTTAACGACACATTTCTCAAAATGTATCCCCATCATTAAGTGACACATGACTACATATATATTCAACTGTTAACAGTGCTTCTACATAAGTAGTAGACTTTTATTAGTTTTCAATTATTATTATTATTTTTTTTTTTTTTTTGCTTTCCTCACTTTTCCATTGTTATCTACAACAAAAATGTCTTGGTTTTGGAAGTTAAAATGATAATCAGGAAAAATAAATATAACCAGCCCTACCCCATAAGATGGTTCAGCTTTGGAACAGGAAATACCTCTAAGCCAAGGGAATTAAGTAGTAGGGTGGTCCCAGAACTAATGTATGAATCTACCCACATGATAGTCCCAGTTGGGCAGCTTCAGAAAAATTACAGACACCTGTAATTTAGGAGGTGGAGAAGGGAAGGAGAAGGGAAAACATGTCTCTCAAATGAAGCTTACATTTAGCAGTCAGATGACATCTCCACTGCCCAGGATTTCAGTGAAGGTCACAAGATGAAAGTAGTTTCACAGCATGCTTCTCTCTGCACTCTCCCAAAGAAAGCCCCTTGAATTGATAGTAGGCTCCTCTGTTTACCCACCTAGTTAGCCAAGCAGTGACTGCCACAGGGGCGGGAAAGAGGGAGGGACTGCATGAAACCATCCAGGGTTCAGCACCACAGCTCCAGAGAGGAAGGATCCTAACACAGCTGGGTTTGGGGTAAAAGTTGAGTCACAGTCTCACTCAGCAAAGAACTGCAGGAACAATCAGCACATGTGAATTAAAACACTTTTGAAATACCTTCCCTGTGCAATTAAAAATAGTAGAAGAAAAGGAAGGAAAATATACACAGGTCCAACAATTGTAAAACAAAATCAGATCAAGTTCTAAATAAGATTCATCCCCAAGCCAATAATGGATTTGGGTGGTAGACTGTACTATCTTTTACCAGCATAGCCAAGATTAGGTTCTGGATTAGGCCTTGAAGGGTTACAGTGAGCATGAAAGACAGATAATTTGGCCCAGACAAATGGGAAGTTGTTTCAATATTAGGATACACTGAGACATTGTTTTAGGCCAGTTAGCTCCAGAGAAACTCTAAGACTTTGAACACGCTGGGAAAAAGCATTTGAAAATAGTAGCTACAGCTTGTTTGTGCTCCCTATAGCATATAGTCTGAGAAAATGGGCATGTCTGTTTTAATGTCTGCAAGAGTACCCATGACAAGGAGGCCATTCAGCTCCTACTGTTGAGATGTGATTATGTGTTTGTTCTCCTCACGTTTCTTCCTTTTTTTTTTTTCCCTTTTTTCCCATGAGGTAGCCAGGCATCTATAGAAAAAACCATGCTACAAAACAATACAATTCTCACTTACAGATACATGCATATGTAATAAAAGTATAGGGCAATGTCTTTAAAATCTATAACGTGAATTCTGTGTTACCTCTGAGAAAGAAGGAGGCTTGCAATCAGAGAAGTCTTCAAAGTGAGTTTCAACTGCATATGTAATATTACGTATGTCAACATGAGAACAGGGACGTCTCTTACATTCTATAATTTTTGTATTTCTGAAATATTTCATAACAACTGTTTCAATGAAGCTTGCTTCTGACTTTTAAAAAGAACCATACTAATTTAGAAATTGTTGAAAATATAGTTAAGTCAAGAGATAAAGAATTAAGTACCAACCCACCACTCATTAATTTTGAAGAATGTATCCTTTTTTTCTGCAGTTCCTCCCGTTTTATTCTCTATGCAGTCATATTTAATGTATGAGTTTCATTTATCTGGAGACTCAACATTTCCTAAACATCATAAAACCAGTAATTAAATGTGCCCCAATTTTCTCCTCACTTTACTGATGCCAACGCTCATGTCCTTAACCATTAGGTATACAGTCTTTTTCTGTGTAAGGACAGAGACCAACACAGGGGAAGTGACTCCCCACCGTCCTGTACACAAGGACAGATCTGGTACTGGGGGCCAAGGTCTCCTGATTTCAGCCCATTGCATAGCAGACCCATCTTCACATTCTGTCATTCTGTGCTGTCTCCTTTCTGGCCCTCAATGGGAACTTGCTATTTCAGAATCCAAATAGAAATTTAAAAAGAAGAGAAGAACACAACAAATAAAAAGTAATGAGGCTATGATTTGCTTCCTTATTTCCACCATCCTCAGTATCTCATCCTAGAAAGAAACAGCACCAAAGCTTATACATCATATAAATATGTATGCATTTCTTTTTTTCTGATGGTTCAAATCCATTGATCTCTTTGAGGTGTTGATGTTTAAGTCATCTCTTGTGGGAGGGAGAACATAAGGGAGATTATGCGTATATTTGTTGAAGTATTAAGTACCATGCGCTTTATTTAGGTTTGCTCATTCCTTCTCATGGCTCTCTGAAGTAAATGTCATTATGCCCATTTTATAGATTAGCAAGGTCAGATTCAATAAGGGTAACTCACTGCTAGAGGGTCATATTCATCTATCAAGAGGCAAGAATGGGGTATTACACAAAACATTCGTTTATATATATTATTTCCCAAAGTTATCAGATTATATGTATGTTTCAGCAATTTTTCTTTCTCACTCAGCATGGTAGCCTAGGATATTAGTTTTCAGTCCTTTAGTTATTGTAATTTGGCATATTTTTGAAAGTTTAATGGGTATACATATTGTTTTTTAGTGTGAATTATCTGTTAATATCATTTAACCATTTCTCTATTCATTAGTAAGACTTCATTCCATATCAAGGATGTAGTATAGTTAAGGATTTAATGTAAAAGTAACCACTGAAACAAAACAATAACCATGCTAAATACTAAATAAATAGGAAGAAGAAATCAAACACATGACCTAGTGAAAGGCTATATAATTTCCTTATATTTATAAACAATACTACAGAACTGAACTTAAATGACCAAAGACTTTGATCATATTATGGGAAGCCAATTCTCCCTGACAATCACACAGGCAGGCCTGCATGACAGTCACACAGACAGGCCTGCATAGCACCCCAGTTACACAGACAAATTTCCACAGTGCTGCCTTAACATTGAGCAAATAGTTAAACCTAGGGAAACTGTTGCCCAGACATCAAAGCTAGAAATGAAACATACAGTCAGTAGGAGCCTTGTGTGGGCTTCTCCCTTGCTGGAGCAAGCCAAAATAACAGAAACAGTTTTACAATAGGACCCACCTCAGGTCGACAAAATCTGAGAGAAGTCAAGGTAACAGAGGCAGCTGTTTGAACAGATTCATCGGAGAGTCTAAGGCAGCTCTCTGGACCAAGCTGTAAAGGAGATAAGATAGAAATAATCACTCTGGTACAACAGTAGACAGTCCTTGAAGGTACTGGGGCCCTTTTAATCAGACTTAGCAAGCATTTTTTTTGCCTCTGACCTTCTAGTTGAAACAAAATTGGTTACCAGTAGACTTAGGCGAATGCTCTACTGCACGTAGTAGGCACATAACCCCAACCTATATAAGCCCTAAGAAAATTTAACACTTTGAGTTGGTCTGGTGGAATTATCTCTGGCTTTCTCCCTGTATCCAGTTACAGTAGTAAATCCCCTTCTTTCCTAGTTTGTCTGCTTCTTGTTATCGGGCCTCGAGAAAATGTAGCCAGACCTGGCTTGATTCCAGGAACAATAACAATAAAGGTAAATGGACTTAACTCACCTATTAAAGAAAAAGTATTTGCAAATTTCCTATCGAAGCAAAATCCAAGATTATGCTTTTTCATGAGATACACCTTAAACAAATGAATTCAGCTAGGTTAACAGTTTAAAAACAAGTAAATATATACCAAGCAATTGCCCATAACAAGAAAGCAGGAGTTATAATCTTGATATTTGAGAGAGTAGAATTGAGACCAAAATGGATTTAAAGAGATAAAAAGGCACAGTTGATAATGCTAAAGGCTACAATTCACAACGAAAGTGTGAGATACTAATACTTATGTACCAAAGCACACAATACTTTCCTGAATTCAAAAATGTTCAAGTGGAGAAAAAAATTAATAATTATAGAGAAGACCTAAACAACCAACTCCCAAGAGTAGAGCTTATAAATAGACACAGTGAACTCGGAAGCCTGATATTAGGCAATACACATGCTTTTCAAACGAACATAGAACATTCATGAAAACGGACTCTATCTGAGGCTGTTAACAAAATCTTGGGCCCAATGAGAATTGCAGAATTTGATGAGGATAATGATGAAAGCAACATATTAAAATCTAGCTAGAGTAGCTGTCAGAAGATATTATAAAGCATTAAATATCTACATGAATAAAAAAGAAAATTAAATATTCAATTTTAAAATCCTGATTTAAAAACCCACAAAGTAAATAAAAGAATGTAGATGGAAAAAAAAATAGTTAAGGGTAAAAGTAGAAATGAATGGGCTAAGAAATAACATCCTGCCAGGCACGGTGGCTCACGCCTGTAATCCCAGCACTTTGGGAGGCCGAGACGGGCGGATCACGAGGTCAGGAGATCGAGACCATCCTGGCTAACACGGTGAAACCCCGTCTCTACTAAAAAACACAAAAAAACTAGCCGGGCAAGGTGGCGGGCGCCTGTAGTCCCAGCTACTTGGGAGACTGAGGCAGGAGAATGGCGTGAACCCGGGAGGCGGAGCTTGCAGTGAGCTGAGATCCGGCCACTGCACTCCAGCCTGGGTGACAGAGCGAGACTCCGTCTCAAAAAAAAAAAAAAAAAAAAAAAAGAAATAACATCCTTGTTAAAGATGAAAGTGTTGGGATGGGTAAAAAGCAAATACTGGCATTGTGGATGATGCACCAAATACCACGCTTGGATCTTGAGGAAGGTCTCCCCATAAACTCCTCATAATGCTCCCTTGAATGTAAGGATTAGGGGTGTGTGTGTGTGTGTGTGTGTGTGTGTGTGTGTGTGTGTGCATGAAGGCAGTGAAAACATGCAAAACAAAGCTACATTTTGTTTAGGGAGTTCTCATACGGAGGAAAAGAAAAAAAGTAGTATAGGGGAATTATAATTATCTCACTGTGGATATGATTATCTCTAGGGAAGAAAGAAAGGGACACAATCAGGGAGGAGTAAACATTTTTCTTAACCTGGACTAATTTTATAGCTCTCTATACATTTCATCTAAAATATTTCATAAGTAGCAGAGGTTTAAGGGATTAGTTTTTAATCATAAATATAATCCATACTCAGCCAATGTTTAATATTGAGCCAAGCGCAGAGGTTAAAAATATCAATACCCAGTAACTCTATCATAACTGAAATTAAGATTGTGTTATGTCATTCTGGTGGTTATTTTCTCATGCGTATATACACATGTACTGTACATTATATATACAATTCATGTAACCACTATAACCATATGTGCAGTTTAGTGTCCTGTGTTTTTTATATTTTTTGCTTTTATCTTAAATACTTACACATTTATGAAGTGTTCTAATTAAATGACAAGGTATAAGATCTAACATCTTACTCTATCCAGTTGACACAGCCCCAATTCTTGAACAATGCATTGGAATGGAAATGTCATACCTGCAGCATATTAAATAATGTTATACACCTGGGTCTACTCAAGAGCTTTCTATAGACTTCCTTTAATTTGCATGCTATCCAACAGTTATAAAATTATAGGTTTGAGGAACATTGTAATACCAGGCAGTATAATCTCCACTCCTATTATCCAGCCTTTGGATGGGTGATACAAATAGTAATAATAATAAATGATAATATAAGATGAAAACAATTATAGGACATATGGTAGATAAGTTACTGGCTCTAAATTACACAAATAACAGTTAATGGTTCCCAGGGTCAAATCCAAGTTTTTGTAATCCCAAAGCCCACACCCTAGTCCACTGTTTCTTCTTAAAAATATTAGTATTAATATTTTATAAGTACATAAACACACATACACATACAGTTTTTACATGAAGAGGTTTTTTTCTGGACAGATACACAATAACTCCAAAATAGTGGTGCCACTAAGAAGGGCAGTTTGGAGTCTGGAGAGAGATAGAGGTTACTTTGTATATAGAAGACTTTATAGGTAAATAATTATCAAATATTTGGAGAAATTTCCTCTGGTAAAGGAAAGCATTGGCTAAAAGAATATCCTTTGACATTAGACAGCCTTGTATTTGTTTGGTTTTGTCACTTACTACATCTTAAGCAATTACTTACACCCTCTAAGCCTCAGTTTCCTTTCAATAAAAAAGATTAAAATGGTAGACACATATGGAGAAAGTATCAATTAAGATAAAACATGTAACGTAATACAGGGCCAGGCACAGAGTAATAATTTAATCAATGCCATATATTATTTGTATTTCTAATAGTAGCAATAGCTCAAGATGGTTGGATGTATAGTATTTTTGGCTTCCAATGAGAGCTATTGTCAAGACATTCTTGCAACGGCTGCCATTCTACATGAGAGCCTCTTATTCATGGTGCCATGACAAGCTAATGTGTCACAATCATTGTGTGTATTATAAGTAACTTGTTACTTGTAATAGTTGACTGAAGCTTGAGGATTGTTTATGTTATGGCTGAATCAGTGTTGTACCTATAAAAACTCTCTCACTCTCTTGAATTATGAAATAATTTTCCGAGTGGGAGAGAAAGGGGTGGAGTTATTCGTAGCTATACAGCTGAGAATTGTGGACAACACGGTGTTACAGTGGGAGTGTGCCATGTATGGGAAAACCACATCATCACAATATATAGTACTTTGCTCTGGAGGGCAACTAATTTAAAGTCAGTAAACATGAAGTTTCAGATGATTTAAGGGTTCCCTATCCACTGTTTCTATATTGAGTGTCTTTCTGTGTTAGGACTTAGACCAAGAAAGGGAAAGGACTCACTGAATGTCCTATGGTCAGTTGTAGGTCTGGCAACAGGGATACAGGTTTGATGACTCCCATCTTCTGTCTATCTGACCGATTTTATTATTTGCTCTTATGTAGTGTTTCTTCTTCCTGGGGCTCAATAAGAAATTCCTTTACCCGTGTCACACTAGAAAGAAAATAAGAGAGCAGAAAGTATGTGGAATAAGAGAAATGATGAGATAGGACCAACATTCACTTCTTGCTGCTACATTTCCAGATGTTCTCTGTTTAAAATCTATTTCACAGGGCACAGGTATTTTCTGTTGGAACCAACAATCTCTCTTCTAAGAATGTAACCCAAAGATTCAATTCAAAAAGACAAAAAGGCAGAAGCACAAGGTTAATTCTTGGCAGAACAAATTGTAACAGCAGAAGACCCAGAATGTGACAGATGTCCACCAATAAGGGACTGATCGAATAACCTAAGATACATCTACCTCCTAGAGTACAATGCAGATATAACAAGCAATGAGAACTCCCACTCTATTATGTAGTGATCTCCAAAATATATACTGTTAAGGGAATAAAAAGCAAAGGAAAAAATATGTAAAGCTGCTGCTGCCCAATATGGTAGGCACTAGCCACTGATGGCTATTTCTTCCTGAGGTATAAAACACATTCATTCCGGCTCAGTAGCCCCTAAAATCTTAATTCATTCTAGCATCAACTCAAAAGTCCAAGGTCCAGAGTCTCATCTAAATCAGTTATGGGTGAGACTCAAAACCCAATTCATCCTAGGGCAAATTCCTTCCAGCTGTGAGCATGTGAATCAAAACAAGCTGTCAACTCCCAAAAATACAATAGTGACACAGGTGTAGGTAAACATTCCCATTCTAAAAGGGAGACACAGGCAAAAAGAAAGGAGTAACAGGCCTCAAGCATAATCCAAAACCCAACAGGGCCAACAACATTCTTTTTTTTTTTTTTTTTTTTTTTTTTTACAGAGTTTCCCATTCTGTCACCCAGGCTGGAGTGCAATAGCATGATCTTGGCTTACTACAACCTCTGCCTCTAGGGCTCAAGCGGTCCTCCTTCCTCAGCCTCCCGAGTAGCTGAGACCACAGACGTGCATCACCATGCTCAGCTAATTTTTGTATGTTTTGTAGAAAACATACAAAATATATACAATATGTTTTCACCATATTGCCCCGGCTAGTCTCAAACCCCTGAGCTCAAGCAGTCCACCCGACTTCGCCCCCCAAAGTGCTGGGATTACAGACGTAAGCCACTGTGCAAGGCCCATTAAGTCTTTTTTTTTTTTTTTAATTTATTTATTATTATTATACTTTAAGTTGTAGGGTACATGTGCACAACGTGTAGGTTTGTTACATATGTATACCTGTGCCATGTTGGTGTGCTGCACCCATCAACTCGTCATTTACATCAGGTATAACTCCCAATGCAATCCCTCCCCACTCCCCCCTCCCCATGATAGGCCCCGGTGTGTGATGTTCCCCTTCCCGAGTCCAAGTGATCTCATTGTTCAGTTCCCACCTATGAGTGAGAACATGCGGTGTTTGGTTTTCTGTTCTTGTGATAGTTTGCTAAGAATGATGGTTTCCAGCTGCATCCATGTCCCTACAAAGGACACAAACTCATCCTTTCATTAAGTCTTAAAGCTAGAGAATCATTCTCTTTTGACTCCATGTCCTGAATACTGGGCTCACTGGGATGGGAACTGGGCCCTCCAAAGACACAGGCAGTCCTGCCTCTATGGATTTGCTAAACTCATTCTACTCAGCAGCTCTCACAAATTGGAGTCTCATGCCTGCAGCTTTCCGAGGCTGGAGTTGCATGCTGGTAACTCTATAGTTCTGGGGTCTCTGAGATGGCCATACTCGACACCTCACTAGTTATTGCCTTAGTAGGGGCTCCTTGTGGTAACTCTATCCCTGTGCAAGTCTCTGCGTGGATCTCCAGGCGGTCTGAGACATCCTTTCAAATCTAGGAGGAGAAAGCCATGCCCACACAGCTCTTGCACTCTTCAGAATTAGCACCATATGGATACCACTAGTGTTTACAGCTTGTGTCTTCTGAAGCTGCAGATTGAGTCACACCTGCAGCCACTTAAGCCACAGCAACTGGGGTGGCTGAGGAGCACTGTCCTGAAATGTGGGAAGAAGAGACCCAAGTGTCTCTTTGCAGCAAGCCCATGTAAGGCATCCTGGGCTTGTCCCCCTGTAGCTCAGGGTCTGTGATGAGAGGGGCAGCCTCAAAGATCTCTGAAATACTTTGGGGGACTTTTTCTCATTGTCTTGATTAATAGCATCTGTCCGTCTTCCCTTCACGTTAGTAACCTCTTTAGCAAATAGTTGCTTGGCCACACCCTTAGTATTCTCTCCTGAACACACTTTTCATTCTACATGGCCAGGCTGTAAATTTTTCTAACTTTTTTTTTTTGCTCTGCTTCTCTTTTAATTACAAATTCATACTTTAAGTCACTTATTTCTTCTCACATCTCACTGTACGTGGTTAAAAGTAGCTGTGTAACAGCTTGAATGCTTTGATGCTTAGAGATTTCTTCCACCAGATACCCTACTTCATCACTCTTAAGTTCTGCATTCCATAAATCCCTAGAATATGGACAAAATTCAGCCAAGGTCTTTGCTGCTTTATAACAGGATGGCCTTTACACCAGTTTCCTACATTGTTCCTCACTTCTTTTCTTTCTTTTCTTTTTTTTTTTTTAAATGGAGTTTGTTGCCCAGGCTGGAGTGCAATGGCGCAATCTCGGCTCACTGCAACATTCGCCTCCTGGGTTCAAGCAATTCTCCTGCCTCAGCCTTCCAAGTATCTGGGATTACAGATGCCTGCCACTATGCCTGGCTAATTTTTTAAATTTTTAGTAGAGACAGGGTTTCACCATGTTGGCCAGGCTGGTCTCAAACTCCTGACCTCAGGTGATCCCACGACCTCGGCCTCCCAAAGTGCTGGGATTACAGGCATGAGCCACTGTGCCCAGCCTGTTCCTCATTTCTGTCTGAGACTTTATCAGAATGGCCTTTACTATCCGTATTTCTACCAACATTCTGGTCACAACCCCTTGAACTACTTTAAGGCTTAAATACTATCTAAGAAGATTCAGACTTTTCCTACAGCTCTCCTCTTCTGAGCTCTCACCAGAATTGCCATTATAGCTACATTTATGGCAGTCTAGGCTTTTTCTAGCCTGTTCATTCAAATTCTTCCAGCCTCTACCCATCATTACCTAGTTCCAAAGCTGTTTCCACATTTTCAGGTATTTGTTATAGCCACAGCCCATGTCTCAGTACCAATTTTCTGTGTTAGTCCATTTTCTGCTGCTATAACAGAATAGTACAGACTGGGTAATTTATAAAGAAATAAAATATATTTCTTGCAGTTCTGGATACTGGGAAGTCCAAAAACATGGCTCCAGTATCTGGCAAGGGCCTTCATGCTACATCATAACTTGGCAGAAGGGCAAGTGAGCACATGAGACAGAAAGAGGAAGTAGGACTGAACTAATTCTTTTATCAGGAGCCCATTCTCATGATAACTAACCCACTCCCACAATAACAGCATTAATCCACTCATAAGGGTGGATCCCTTATGGGCTAATCACTGCTTAAAGTCACCTCTTATTAATACTGTTACAATGGCTGTTACATTTCAATTGGAGGGGACATTCAAAGCATAGCACCCAGCAACCTCTTCTGTATATGATGCCCCACCAAGGGTTAGGGACTGGTAATTGTACAATCCCCACGCCTGTTCACTCAACAACCCCTCTTGGTGATGATGATGAGGATGATGATGGTGGAAGTGAAATCCTCTGCCTGGGGCCAAGAGACCTTGGTATGTGGATCATGTGAATTGACTGGCATTTAAGGTGGCAGACAGGCTTATTCAGAATAACAGGTGCTTCCTCTGGGACAAAGATCTAGAGGGTAGGAAACTAACGTTGACAAAACTAATTATAAAGAAGATGTACTCTAAGTTGTATCTCCTTTAATCTTAACATTTATTCAAGTAACCTATTATTAAATACATAGTTTAGATCAAGTTATAGGAAATTAAGAGAGGTTGTATAAACCAGAGATACTGCTTTGGTTATTGTCTCCTCAGGAGTGGAGTCTGGAATTTCACTAAAGCTTTTCATGTGTTCTGAAGCCTCCAGGAATCCAAATGCTCTAATCTCCCTGGACAATAACAATTAATGCTGCCCTGGTCATTGCTTAATTTATTTATATAATGATCTGTATATTAAATCATAATATTGAAAAATTTAAAACACTGTGTATGACAAAATAAATCATTAAAGCTTGTCTCAGTAGGCTAAAGTAAATATGCACAAATTACATGGAGCTAATTCTCATAATATATAAAGCATTCCCAGTAGCCAATATGGAGAGATGGTCTGATGATGTTGTGGTAGGCACCCTCTAAGATTGTCCCCTATGATCCTCATTCTCCTTGTGTATTCACTCCCTGTGTTACCTGTCCCATTGTGTGGGCTAGAGTTAGTGACTTGCTCCTAAAAATTAAAATATGTGAGAAGGGATGGGATGTCACTTCTGAGATCAAGTGACAAAAAGCTGTGTTGTGCTTGCTAGGCACATTCTTATAGATGCGCTAAGGAGAGCCAGTTGCCATGATGTGAGCTAACCATGTGACAATCGATGTCTCTGCCCAAGAACCACTGAGGCCCTGAGGGCTGCTAACAGTCATATAAATGAGCTTGGAATTGGATTCTCTCTCCATTGAGCCTTGAGATGGCTGTAGTCCCTACCTAGACCTTGATTGCAGCCTTGTGAGAGACTCTGAGCCAGAACCTAAACTGTGCCATGATTCCTAACCCATAGAAATGATGTGTATTAATATGTTTGTTGCTTTAAGCAGCAAAATTTGGAGGTAATTGGTTATGCAAGATAGCTAATAAAGATATAAACAGAATTCATGTAAACAGCAATATACATGTCCAAGAAACATTTAAAAACACATTCGCTAATGAAATGTAAATAAAAACCTGGATAGATGCTGTTTTTCTGAAAAAAAGGCAAGCTGAAGAGCCATATAGGTGATGGGAGCTTACAAATCCCATAGAAGGCCAGGATGCCTGACCTAAGAGAGTCACAGGGACTCACCTTTCTTGAATGCTGGTGCATTTTTATTTCATGTATTTCCACAACATTACCAGGAGGCAGAGGTAATGACCTCTATGTGATTTTATAGTTAGAGAAGCAAAAATGTTTGTAGGTTAAGTAGTCTGGCTGGGGAGTGTTGGGAGAAAGGCTTATGGGGTGCCTGTATAAACTAGCCATAAAAATATGGACAATAAGTTGTGGAAAACCACAAGAGGCCTCTGAGGAGGAAAGCCTTCTTATCGCCATTATGTTCCCATGCTCTGAGCGAGACTTGCTCTCTTTTATCTATAAACACTGTGTTCAAGGAGAAAGACACTCCTTTGAAGCACTGGAATACGGCCAGATGTGCAGGCTCCTAGTTAAACCCGCTCCCACTCGCTACTCTCCCATAAGTTAAAGATACACTGTTTGAGCCCAAAGAAGATTCATTTGCTATAGATTACGTGCATGATGCACTGCCTCCCTTTCACCGTTTCGCCCTGAACATCTGCTTCTTAGATATAAGTGACTGTACTCGATATAACTGATATGACTGTACTCGACTTAGATATAAGTGACTATTTATTTAGTGTGGAGACCAGAGCTTGGCACCTTTTGCAGCCTCCATTTTGCAATTGGTCTCTTGGTCCCCACTCTTTATGCATTCTTAACCTATCTCTTCTCATTCCTTTGTCGCCACCAGACTTTGGGTACCCTACGGGTGGTGTTGAGGCTGGTCCCCAACAGGGGAGCATTCTACAGTAAGTAGAAAAGTAGAGACCAGCACCCCGTAAGGCCCCATGCAGACTGTATGATGCTAAGCTGCATATCACATGATAACCAAGTAAATCTTGCTTTCCTGCTGACCTGGGTCACTAGGATACACTGAAATCTGTATCTTCACCGCTGAAGCCAGGCTGCTAGTTCTGCCTCTCTTTCTGATCAGAGAATCTTGTTGTACATCAATTTCCTGCTCTGTAAAGATAAGGGAATGTGTCTGGGTCAGTGCTTTCAAAAGTAGAGCTCCCAGACAACCTACCTCATGAGGAATATGCATTCTCTAATAGAGGGGCAGGTATCACACTAAGGATGAATACTTGAAGGGACAGGCTCCAAATACATACAGACTGGGGATGCATAGACTTAAAAGACATTGCCAAATCAACCTGGAAAGAGGTTGTACTAAGTGATATCCCCTCCCCCAATATGAGACAGAGTAGACATACCCACATGCACACCTCACTGAAATCCTCAATGGTTTTTAAAAATACTTTGACAACATGACAGGTGGAAATTCTCTCATTGTCATCATATTAAACTGGATACTAAGGTAATTTTTAAATAATTCCCTTTTAAACAAATACTCTGTTAATCATCATTATTGCTATTTTTTTTAATGCAAAAGGGTCCAGTTACATATGCAGCCTAACAGACAATGAGCAACAAGCACATGAGCCTGCAGGTTCTCCTAGGGCTACTGCTGGCATTAAGGCTCCAGGGTGTGTATATGTGTGTGTGTGTGTGTGTGTGTGTGTGTGTATTTGTGTGGTCTCTGGTGGCTCCTAATGACAGTGCATTTGCCTAGAAGATTAAGAATGTCTCTCTGGGATATTGGTTGAGTTCAAGTTTAGAGAGGAGCTGGATCTACACGTTCTGGAGTCTTTCTGAATGACACAAGAGCTGGACCACAACTTACTTCTGAGTAGGCTGTAATCCTCTCCCCATGATGGAAAACAAGCCTGAGACCTCACCTGCTCAGGTCAGGGGGGATCCCTCCAGCATGTAAGGTGTGGTAGTCGGCCTAAATCTACTTCTGAACACTGTAGCTGGGTGCTCCCATCTTGCTGCCATCAGTTGTAGGGACCTGGGGAGCTGCATCCTCTTAGCCACCTAACTCCATGGGTTCAGTCATCTGCATAAAAGCTCTGTGCTGGGAGATAAAAATTTGTGAATTATCAGCACATGTTTGACACATCGTGCATCCACCCATTCAGTCATTCCTCAGTTAACAGTTACTAGGCATTAAGACCAAACTCTACACCATCCCTTTGGTTAAGTTTTAGGCTTCCCCAGAAGAGAAACAAGAAAGTGAAGTGTGGAAAGGAGGGTGTGGTAAATTCAGATGGCAGATCTCAGAAGAGATGGCTCCTTCCCACTAACAGATTAATCATAGAGACTCATCACTGATGATTGTAAAACATAATTCAGTGCCATGGAGCCATTTCTACATCTTTAGTTGATGTTCTCTTTACATATATTCTCCCATTTGCAATCAATATTCTATGAAGAATTCTCAATACTCAGCTCACTTCCCTCCGCACTTCCCTACACCTCAGTCTTCATTTCTTATCTAATGGGGCTTAGCTCCCCCATCCTTCCACTGAACTTGAACTCTCCCAAGTCTACAGCCACCTCTTTGTCACATTTATAGATCAAGAGTGTTGAAATAAATGTTCAAATGGAGATAAATGGGTATTTCCCCAGGAGGAAAAGGTTTCCCTCCCTCAAGACAGAATTCATTTCCTTGTGTCTATAGACAAAGATAGTATGCAATGCTATCAGTTACCTAAAAGGTAGAGTTGTATAACAGCGTTCAGAGTCAGATAACCAGAAGGCTGAGCTGTAGATGACATGCTTTCAAATGAAGCATACATTTTACCTGACATAGCTTATACTTTTGATTCATTGATGGGGAGTTCATAAATAGGTTTACTTTATGTTAGCAGTAATTTTTATGGCTACTTCAATAATCTTGCCTTATCTGTTTTTTATTTCTTTCTCAAGGGGTACCGAGTAGGCAATGAAATAATGTGAAATTATAATGCTGTTCCAAACTTTGCCATGATTAAAAATATTGTCTAAAAGCACTAATATATCACAATTAGAAAATATAGTGATGAAATATAATTGCGGTGATAGGGAGCTCTTTTGCAGTTTCCTGATAGTTAAGTCAAAATTCTTTTAGTGTACCACTGAAATGATGCTGGAATTTTTTTGGGATATATCTATTAAATAAAATATTTCCACTTTAAAATAAGTATGTATAAATTCATACTGATATAAGTAAATGTTTGGTGAATTAATAAAGAAAAGCGTGTGAGAAGACAAACTGTCTTTATGGAATGATTCCAAATAGTATTTGTAGCTATTAACCCTCCAAGAGGTGAAGCTTAATTCTATTTCAACCCCTGAATATAGGTCACACTTAGTGACTCACTTCTCAGGAAGAGAGTACATGAATTGAAAAAGTTACCGTACACTGGAAAACTTGGCAAACACTGCTTTAACTACGTGATGAAGGTTAACATCACCAGTGAGGTCACATCATCATGTAAACCCAAATATTACGTGATAAGAAGGGCACTTCAACTCTGTAGTATTCTTTCTCAAATTCCATAATGCCGGTCTAATCATGAGAAAAAGACAACAGATTAAGGCTGTACTCCTCAAGACTATCAGGGTCAATAAAATAGTCTGAGAGTTCCTCATATTGTCAAGCAGAAAATTGCCATATAACCCAGCAACTTTACTCCCAGGTACATACTCAAGAGAAACGGAAACCTATGTCTACATAAAAACTTGCACAAAAAATATATGTAGCATCATACGTGCACACCTTTTGCGCCAATAACTTACCTTGTAGAAATTTATCTTCAGGGCATTGTGAAGGATGCTGATAAGCATCTGGTTATAAGGACTGTCATTCTGAAAATTCTTTTCCTTTATTTCTGGGCCTGAATTTAGGAAGAAAGACAACCAGATACACCAAATTATGAAGGGGCAGAAGGTAGCAGAGGGAAATGCTGTGCACACACACAAGCAGTGACAAATACACACACATGTACAGCAACCAGGTTCTGTTATTACAATACTAGAATTCCTCCAAGACAGTTGGTAGGGCTCTAAGAAGACCCATCTGGCTCACCAGTGTAAACAGCTACAGGAACTGTGCCGTTCAGCCATGCACAGACTCTGAAAAGATGTCTTCCACACAGTGTAGATAACAGGGAATCTGAATAACACAGGTTTGAGAAAACTGATATCATATCCATAGGATGGAATTCTAGAATTCAGCAAAACAAGTTTTAATGAAGATAACGATGAGAGGTGATTTGTTGCCCATACGATTAGCAGTGATTCACATTATTTCTAATGTGTGAAGACACAAGGTCCTTACATACTGTTATGTAAGGAATATAAGTTAGAAATAGTATTTGGATTTCATTATGTTAACATAAAATTTTACAGTTTCCAGGGTTTTGAAAGACCACTTCCAGGAACTTTTTTTTTTTTGACAGAAATACTTACAAATATATTTGCATATATATGAGGAGGATATTAAGTATACTATTGTTTGTAACAGGAAAAAATGTTAAAGCAACTACATTTTTATGACTAGGACACTAATTAAATGAATTTTGGGGCACCCACGTGATGAACCACCTGGTTGATAAAAAAAGAGACTACAATTATTTTTGGAAAGAAACTTAAAACATTATTATGGAAACGCATGTGTATGCAAAGATGACCACAATGAGGGCAAATGTGGGTCACAAAGATCATTTAGTGGCCAAGATGCATTTTTGCTTATATAGGTCTATAGCTACTTATCCAGAGGTTTGAAAGCATAAACATAGAAGTGATCATTTTGTGCTTTCACATAGCACATGAAGAGGCTACACTTTCTGTCTGGTGGCCATCAGTACCCCTGTACAGTGGGAATGCCCCTTTTTCTACCCACACTTCCGGAAAACTCTGCAGAGTGTGCATGGGCCACAGCACCTCCCTCCCACCTTCCTGCTCAGCGATGTTCAAGCTGCTGCAGTTCAGGCTTCTGTCATGAGGGGGCATCACTGTACCACTATTATCAAACTTCTCTACAAAGCAAGGAGCAGAAAAATACGGTAGCCTCCCCTAAAACCCAGTCTATGAAAAGAACTGCAGAATGATTCTAAATCTGTCTGGGAAAAAACCCACCCTGACAGGTGTAAAACAGAGTGTAAAAACATACTGCGGGACATCCATAGGATGAAACACCACGTAGGTCTGATGTACCTGGGCTGTTGCTGGGAGGCAGGATTGGGGGAGCCCAGGGCAGCAGGAAGTGACTGAGAGGATGAGGCACTGGAGTGGGGTCTGGGCAGCTGTGTCCATAATGTCCTGGAGAGGGGGTCAGTGGGAAGGAGTGGAAGAAGGTCTGAGAAACCTGTACAGGGTTGGAGTGATGGGTGGTGAACACCCTGCTCTCCAGGAGGGACCCCCCCTACAGTGTGGACATCTCAACCTACACTAATGAAGGAAAAGATAAATTACTGAATGCGCTGTAGATTTGGAATCAACAGCAAATTGGCCTGCTTTAGTATACAAATGGGTATTCCGAACTACTGGTATCACAGTAAAGAAAAGTTTCATAACATTACTTACTCTGCAAAATTTACCCCTTTTCATTAAGAAAGAGCAAGGAACGTGGAGATAGCTGTAATGCCTCTTGGTGGCCAGAGTCAGGATTGCAACTCTGAGTGTAGACCAGGGGACTCAGCAGCGGGCAGGGAGAGATGCAAGTTGGGAGCTTGATTAATGGGACCAGACATGGTTTTCTGGAACTTTTCACTTACGTCCAGCTATCCTTCTGTATCCATCATTTTTTCTGGAATATTAACAGAAGCACTTTTTGTGGGATATCTAAATCTGAGATCAGAAACCAGTCCTGGTCTGAACTGAAGATAATACTGCAACTGTGAGCTGTACTTGAGGTGGTGGAGCTAGACTAGCTAGAAACACACACACACACACACACACCACACACACGCACACGCACAGCTACTACAGGTCTTACCTTCCCTACCTCCAAACACATCCTGTCAAGGTCCATTTCTCCCTCTGCACATGGCTGCAGCACTGATACCATCAGCTTGCTCCTCTCTAGACTTCTGCAATATTTTCTAATGGTTATCTCCACACACTATCTTCTCCCTCTCCAGTCCATTCTTTGCACAGTGACCAGAGTCACTTTCTAAAAACATGAGTCAGATGATATTGTTCCCATTCTCTAACCCTCCACACTCACAATACAATCCAAACTCCTTACAGTGGCTTAAACAATATGGCTCCTATCTGCCCTTTCAACTTCATCTCACCAGTCTGTGCATTGTCTGCCAGGCTCTAGGCACTTGAGCTTTTCCCTGCTCTTGGAACACACGGTGCCCATGCACACTGTGTACACACTGGCAGAAAGTCAGTCTGTGCCTAGCTTCTTTTTGTCATCCAGGACTCAGCTCAAATGTCACTTCCTGAAAAGGAGCTTCACTTACAACCCCATCTATAATTATCTTTATCTTGGTCACTTTCTACTCTACATGTGTTTAAAACACAAATCCCCATATGAAACTACTCTGCTGATTGATTTGTTTACCTGCTTATTACCAGTTTTCTCAAACTAGAATGATGTGTCCGGGGACCATGTTTGTCTTCTTCTCTGTGCTGTTTTCCCAGTGCTTAGATCAATGCTTCACACATAAATCACTGAATGAAAATTACTGAATTGAAGGAACTGGTACCTATTTCACAAAACAGAAATGACACAGATATTAAAAGCAAAGTAGTAGGAGCAACCAATGATGAAATTAGACATGAAAGGATTCAAATTTTTCATAGACCTTGTTGCAAATCCACAGCAGTGCTTTTCAAACATGGGTGAGTACTACAATCAATTGGAAAAATTTCTCAAAATATAGATACCTCCCACCACACCTTCCTGTTTTTCATTCAGCTGACTTATGGTAGACCCAAATATCTACTATTTTAACAGGCAATCCATGATGATTTTGATGAAGTAGTCCATGAACCATACTTGGCAAAATTCTGATGAAAACACCTCACATTACTGTGCCATTAATTTAATGCCCACCATGGAGAACTCTAGGACATCTGGATTGTCTCTGTTAAGGTAATTACTCAAAAGTGACTAGTCCTTCCCTCCCACCTAAGATCACAGATTGCTTTCCCATATGAGTTCATTGTTAATTTCCAGAGTATTCTTGTGTGGTCACCAAGATTGGGAATTACTATCCTGTTGAATAAATGAGGCTGGTGGAAGGGAAGTGACTCACCCTCAGAGCATGACTTTGAGCATTTGAAGAGAAAAAGTCTGAAGATAACAACCCATATCGTGTTGCATCTAGTAGGCCTTCAACAAATGTAAGTTCCCCACTCCAACTTTGCCTCCTTCATTCTGTCAGTGCGATGCCTCTGACATTAAAATTCACATCATGAATACCAAAGAGAATACTTGGAAATGTGACAGAAAGCAGGGATAAGTTTAGACGTTTCTAAACGCCAACTCATAGTTTTGAAAGGAATATCAGAATTGTAAAACAACACAACTATCATCAAAATAAGTGACTCAGGCAAAAATCATAAATGGATACTCGCTCTACGCTAAATCCCATAAGAGTCACGGAGTCACCATGGTAACCAGGCTAGCCAAGGAACACTGGGAAAAAACAAACAACCCCCTATATCTTGTTACTAACATGTGCTAGGAAATGAATAACGCTGACGTAATACATGGTAATTAGTCTCAACACCTCATAATACACATTCCTGGCAGCTTCAGCAACATACAAATTGATACATTCACAAATACTCATATGGATGCATGCCCTCTCCCCAATGCTCTCTCACCATCCAAGATACCAGGAATTTTTTAAGGTGGGTTTACTGGGGACAAAAAAATACAACCTCACATTTTAACATATTCAAATATAGCAGAAACATAAAGTTGAAAGCTACTAACCTATATTATTTTAGTGATGGATTTTTCTGGAGATTACCTGTAGAACTGCTGGGGGTACATTTTTATCCCTAGTTTCAGTGTATTGCCAATGATTTCTAAAAGCTAATATAGAAATACATGTACATGCACATTAAGCATCAAATATCTTTTTCATCCTAGAGTAGCCTGTGCTTTTTACCAGGATTCTTCAATAGTCATTATTAAAATTCTGGTTGCTGGTGGTTCCATGAAAATGTAATAATTAAGAATTCTATTTAAGAAATAATGCCATTGACAGCGGCATCAATAAGTATGAAATATTTTTGAATTATCTGCTCATAGATATGGAACATTTGTACATTGAATACTACAAAACATTGCTGAGAGAAGGAAGACCCAAAGAAGTAGAGGACATACTGTGTTCATGAGTCAGAAGACTCAGTATTGTTAAGACGTTTATTCCCCACAAACTAATATACAGATTCAGTGCAATCCCAATAAATATTCTATATATTTTTCAAAGAAATTGGCAAGTGGATGTTAAAATCATATACAAATACAAAACACCTAAACTGTGAAAAACAACTGTAAAAAAGAACAAAGGTATAGGACAAACACTACCTAATTTCAAAACTCATTATAAACCTACAGTAATCAAGACAGTGTGCTATTACCATTGAAGGGGAAAAGTAGATCAAAAGGACAGAATAAGGAATCCAGAAGTAAACCCATGAACACACGGACAACTGATTTTTTGACAATGATGTAAAGACTATTCAGTGAAAAAGTAAATAGTCTTTTCAACAAATGGTTCTGTAATAAGTAGATATCCATATACACAAAAATAAACTGTAATCCATATATCACAACATACAAAATCAATTCAAACTGAATCTGAGACCTAACTATAAAATCCAAATGTATAAACTCCTACAAGAAAAGACAGGAGTAAATCCTTGTGACTGTGAATAGGTAAACCTTTCTTAGATAGGATATCAATAAAAACATCTTAACCCTAAATAAATTATAAATGGTACTTCCTCAAAGTTAAAATTTTCTGCTCTTCCAAAAGACACTGTTGAGAGAATGGAAAAATAAATCAATGACTGGGAAAAAGTATTTGAAAAATCGTATAACTGACAAAGAATTTATATCCAGAATATATAAAATCATTTAAAAGTAAGAAGTAAACAGACACTCCAATAAATAAATGGGAAAATAATAGAAACAGAAACTTTACCAAAGAATATATACAAATGGCAAGTAATCACACAAAAAGATGTTTAACAATAATAGTTGTTAAGAAAATGTAGGCCAGGCGCAGTGGCTCATATTAGCCTGTAATCCCAGCACTTTGGAAGGCCGAGGCAGGCAGATCATGAGGTCAGGAGTTTGAGAGTAGCCTGGCCAACATGGTGAAACTCCGCCTCTACTAAAAATACAAAAATTAGCCAGGTGCAGTGGTGGGCGCCTGTAATCCCAACTATTCAGGTGGCTGAGGTAGGAGAATTGCTTGAACCCAGGAGGTGGAGGTTGCAGTGAGCTGAGATTGTGCCACTGCACTCCAGCCTGGGTGACAGAGCAAGACTCTGTCTTGAAAAAAAAAAAGGTAAATTAAAACTCTAATGAGATATTACTATGCACCCGTGAGAATGGCTAAAGTGAAAAAGACTGACCATACCAAGCTTTGGCAAGGTTATGGAGAATAGAATTCTCATATACTGCTGATGGGAATGAATAAGGAATGGTACTACCACTTTGGAAAACAGTTTGGCAGTTTGTTACAATTTTAATCTCACATCTACCATATGATCCAGACATTGAACTCCTAGTGTTTACCCTAGAGAAAGAAAGCATGTGTACATATAAAGACATTTACACAAATGGTTATGGCAGCTTTATTTAGAAGAACCCCAAACGGAAAACTACCTACGGTCCATGAAAAAGTAAACGGATAAAACAAATTGTGGTATATCCATATACTACTTAGCAATTTTATAAAGGAATTATTCAATCACGCAACAATGAGGATAAATCAAAAGTTAAACCCCATCTCTACTAAAAATAGAAAAGTTAGTCAGGCGTTGTGGTGGGCACCTGTAATCCCAGCCACTCAGTGAGGCACGAGAATTGCTTGAACCTGGGAGGCGGAGATTGTAGTAAGCCACGATCGTACCACTGCACACCAGCCCAGGCGACAGTGAGACTCCATCTCACAAAAAAAAAAAAAAAAGAAAAAGAAAAACGGTCATCACTCAAGGATGCCCACTTTCACCACTTCTATTCAACATAGTACTGGAAATCCTAGCCAGAGCAATCAGACAAGAGAGGGGAGGAAATCAAACTGTTGCTATTCATCAATGATATGATCATATACCTAAAAAATCCAAAAGACTTACCCAAAAGACTCCTAGATCTCATACACGAATTCAGTAAAGTCTCAGGTTACAAAGTCAATGTAAACAAATCAGTAGCACTGCTATACACCAATGACCAAGCTGAGAATCAAGAACTCAATCCTTTTTACAACAGCTGCAAAAAAATAAAAATAAAAAAATAAAGCTAGGAATATACTTAACCAAGGAGGTGAAAGATCTTTATGAGGAAAACTACAAAACACTGCTGAAAGAAATCATAGATGACACAAACAAATGGAAACACATGCCATCCTCATGGATGGGAAGAATCAATATTGTGACATCACCACACTGCCCAAAGCAATCTACAGATTCAATGCAATTCCCATTTTCCATCAAAATATCATTTTTCACAGAACTAGAAAAAATCCTAAAATTCATATGCAACCGTAAAACAGCCCATATAGGCTGGGTACAGTGGCTCATGCCTGTAATCCCACCACGTTGGGAGGCCAAGGTGGGTGGATCACCTGAGGTCAGGAGTTCGAGACCAGCCTGGCCAACATGGTGAAACCCCATCTCTACTAAAATACAAAAATTAACTGGGCCTGGTGGTGGGCACCTGTAATCCTGGCTACTTGGGAGGCTGAGGCAGGAGAATTACTTGAAACTGGGAGGCGGAGATTGTGCTGAGTGGAGATTTTGCCATTGCACTCCTGCCTGGGCAACAGAGTGAGACTCCATCTCAAAAAAACAAAAAAACAAAACAAACAAACAAACAAAAAACCTGCCCAGCCCACACAGTCAAAATAATTCTAAGCAGAAAGAACAAATCTGGAGGCATCACATTACCAGACGTCAAATTATACTACAAGGCTATAGTTACCAAAACAGCACGGCACTGGTATAAAAATAGGCACTTAAACCAATGGAAAAGAATGGAGAACCCAGAAATAAAGCCAAATACTTATAGTGAACTGATCTTTGACAAAGCATACTAAAACATAAATTGAGGAAAGGACCCCCTATTCAATAAATGGTGCTGAGAAAACTGGCTAGCCACATGAAGAATGAAACTGGATCCCCATCTCTCACATTATACAAAAGTCAACTTAAGATGCATTAAACACTTAAATCTAAGACCTGAAGTCATAAAAATTCTGGAAGATAACATCAGAGAAACTCCTGTGGACATTGGCTTAGGCAAAGAATTTGTAACTAAGACCCCAAAAGCAAATGCAACAAAAACAAAAATAAATAAATGGGACCTAATCAAAAAGCTTCTGCACAGCTAAAAAAAAAAAATATTCAGCAGAGTAAACAGACAACCCACAGAGTAGGAGAAAATACTTTCAAACTATGCATCCAACAAAGGACTGGTATCCAGAATATACAAGAAACTCAAATCAGCAAGAAAAAAGATATAATCCCATCAAAAAGTAGGCAAAGGACATGAATAGACATTTCTCAAAAGAAGATATACAAACAGCCAACAAAAATAATGAAAAAATGCTCAATATCACTAATCATCAGGGAAATGCAAATTAAAACCACAATGAGATACCACCTTATGCCTGCAAGAATGTCCATAATTAAAAAGTCAAAAAACAATCGATGTTGGCATGGATGTGGTGAAAACGGAGCACTTTTACATTGCTGCTGGGAATGTAAATTAGTACAACCACTATTGAAAACAGTATGGAGATTCCTTAAGGAACTAAAAGTAGATTTACCATTCGATCTAGCAATCCCACTACTACATACCCAAAGGAAAAGAAGTAATTACATGAAAAAAACACATGCACATGCACGTCTATAGCAGCACAATTCGCAATTACAAGGATATAGAACCCAACCAAAGTGCTCATCAACCAAAGAGTGGATAAAGAAATGTGGCATATATATACACCACAGAATACTATTCAGCCATAAAAAGGAATGAAATAATGTCTTTTGCAGCAACTTGGATGGAACTGGAGGCCATTATTCTAAGGGAAATAACTCAGGAATGGAAAACCAAATACCATATGTTCTCACTTATAAGTGGGAGCTAAGCTATGAGGATGCAAAAATCACTCTATAGAGTGATATAATGGACTGTGGGGATTTGGGGAGGGGGATATTGTGAGGGTAGTGAGGGATAAAAGACAATATATTGGGTACAGTATATACTGCTGAGATGACAGGTGCACCAAAATCTCAGAATTCACCACTAAATAACTCATCCATGTAACCAAAAAACACCTGTTCCACAAAAACTATTGAAATTTTAAAAAATTAAAAAAGAAAAAAAGATAAAAAGTGTCACGGTTGCCATAATGATGGTAGGTTTCTATGGCAACCAGCATGCTTAGGCTGGTCCTGCATACCAGAAATGCCTCCACACACCCCTCCCCTCTGGCTCTTGCCTTCCCCTGAAAGCAAAGCACCTTCGGTCTTCAGGCCACCACCTGAGAAATATTAAGAATTAGAGGAACTAACCTCATACAAGGGTGATTTGTGGAATTCTGCCCAGTTTGGGAAACAAAGCATCTCCTCATTGTCAGGAGTTTTGCTTGCTTTAAAAGTGACAGTAGGGAAGTAACATCACTACACAGAGACCGAGGGAGGTATCTTAAGGCTCTTTGAGACGAACTGGGCCTCTGAGGGTGATGTGTAAAACACATATGTAGAGGACTACGTGCTCACAAACAGGGTGTTCCCGATAAACCCTGCTCGCTGCGCCAGATGTTGGGGTCCGCGTGTTTCCTAAACAAAGGAATGAACACACAAGACAACACGACAAGACAAACATGGCGGCCACCTCAAATGGTGCGTCTGCTTTATTTTATACAGTCGTTTGTGGAATGTTGCCAAGTCACAAGACACATTGTTGTTTTTCTGACCTTTCCCTGACTTTCCGGATTTTCAAGATATTTACATATAAACAGGCCCCCAACGCCCTGCTTCGTTTGTGTTTGCAAGAGCAGGACTTATGGGGAACGCCCTGCTTCATTTGCGAGAGCAGGAACACCCTGTTTGTGAGCACGTAGTCCTCTACATTTCCCCTTTCCTTATTTACAAGTTTCAATTTCTTTTAAAACCATCATTACATGTTGGGCTCGCTGGGATTCGGTGTTTGCCCTTTGGCACCGTCTCCAGCAGACTGTGAAAAATGACAAAGGCAAGAACAACAATCAATACATTACTAGAAACAGAGGTCAGCAAAGTTTTTACAGGACTCATAGGGTTCAAAGACGTCAAACTTTGTGCAATGCCAGTCATCAAATCTGCACCAGTCAGCAACGGTAACTGATTGCGAAATGTTTCAGAAATGTTCTTTGTTAATTCTTGTATTTCTAGGGAAAGATTATTATGACTAATTAAAAGTCTCTTTATCTCAGTCCAATTATGTACAGTGCTGTTAAAAGGAACAGGAGTAATACAAAATTGGGTAGTGTTCCAATCACATTTCAACAAAGCTCGGGTATTCAACACTGTTAGCTGATCTCCCAACCAAGAAACCACTTGCTCCAGATTATTCACTCGTTCAGTCAAATGAGCATCTATGTCTCGTTGCTGCTGCCACAACAAATGTGATTGTTCATGCCACTGTTGCACAAATTCTGCATTTGTATACTCCGGTGTAGAGCTAATCCAGCAACAGCGGCGGTGGAAGCAATTGCTACAAGTCCTATCACCGCGGTCATGACGATTCCAACCATCCTCTGACTGCGGTGGACAAGATCTTGCATAACCTTGTAAATTTGAGTAACCCCAGCAGATTCACTCCAAGTACATGTTAAGTTTACAGGTAGCCAGGTTTCTTT